AAGACCTTCCAGGGTTTTCCAAATCTCATGTCTCAGCGAAGTCATCTGCATGTGTTGGGGGCGTACACATTGACATTCACTGACCTGAATTGCAGTTGGTTGTCTGGGAGAAGGGTAGGTAGGTAATATCAGTTTTCTAATACTTAGGCTACGTACTGGTGATTTTCATCATCGAGAACACTGCAAACCTCGGGGATGGGGAAAAGAGAGGCAAAAAGCGAACATCTCCCTGGGGAACAGCTCAGGAGCCTTACACACCCCAACAGGAGCAAGGCAAAGGGCCCCACTGCACCCAGAAGTCATAGAGGACTGTGTCTGTGAGTCTCACGTATTTCCAGGAGCTCACTCCCATACACATGCCAGATCCATGCTGACCATCACCCCTCGGGGACATCCGCTTCCCTAAGTCTGTTCCTCCCTTGTGCCTAATGAGTGCGTTTCTCCCGCTGCCGCTGCGGGTGGTGATCCAGGTGCCCCGGGTCAGTCTCGGGAAGGCCCTCTGCCGTTTCTGAGGTTCCTCTGTCAGACTGTTGTGTCCCTGTGTCCTAGGAAGGTGACGATCTCAGAGGAGCACGCTGTCATTGTGAGCCGCGGCATACGCCATGCCCTCCAGCACAGGACGATGTGTCCTCGTGGGAGGCTGTGCCGGTGTTCCTGACCTGGGAAGCCTGGCTACAGGCAAGTGCGTGAGTGGGATTGTCAATCAAGGACCTTCCGGACCTAGAAGTCCATACCCTTACCCTGTCCTCCGATTGTCTCCCAAGACAAATGGCAGATAATGAGTCAGGAGGGTGTGAGGACTCTATGAAGAGCCTCCTAGGCCTTTGTTGGGGGGTAGAAAGGGCTCCCGGGAGAAGGATGAGGTGGAGGGTTTCGGGTATGCGGGCGGGACCCACGGACTCTCCCTGCCCTTTAGCCACGGCCAGCACTGGACGACAGTGGAAAGGCCAAGCCCCCAGGCCTAGGCTCCTGAGGCACCTAAAATCCTACCTTGAGCAACATCTACTTTTGCCTTCAATTCTGCAGAGATGTGGCCACGGGAAGCCCCTGATGCAGAGGCAGCCGCGTGCTGGAGAGGAGCTAGTCCAGTGATGGCGAACCTATGACACGCGTGTCAGAGGTGACACACGAACTCATTTTTTTGGTTGATTTTTCTTTGTTAAATGGCATTTAAATATCTACACTAATAAAAGAGAAACATGGTAATTGGCGTACGACCGCTACCCTTAAAAAATTTTCCTCCCCCCACCTGTGGGTATTCAGTTCTTCCTCAACTCCCGCGTGGCTTCCTGTGGATGTGGCCACCCTCTGCCCAGGGTCATGATTAGCTGTGAACGTGCCTGCACCCCCAACCCCTAGAGATTAACGGAAGGGCCAAGGCCTTCCAGGGTTTTCCAAACCTCATGTCTCAGCGAAGTCATCTGCATGTGTTGGGGGCGCACACGTTGACATTCACTGACCTGAATTGTAGTTGGCTGGGAGAAGGGTAGGTAGGTAATAGCACAGTTTTCTAATACTTAGGCTACGTACCGGTGATTTTAATCATCGAGAACACTGCAAACCTCGGGGATGGGGGAGAGAGAGGCAAAAAGCGAACATCTCCCTGGGGAACAGCTCAGGAGCCTTACACACCCCAACAGGAGCAAGGCAAAGGGCCCCACTGCACCCGGAAGTCATAGAGGACTGTGTCTGCGAGCCTCAAATATTTCCAGGAGCTCACTCCCATACACATCCCAGATCCATGCTGACCATCACCGCTCGGGGACACCCGCTTCCCTAAGTCTGTTCCTCCCTTGTGCCTAATGAGTGCGTTTCTCCCGCTGCCGCTGCGGGTGCTGATCCAGGTGCCCCGGGTCAGTCTCGGGAAGGCCCTCTGCCGTTTCTGAGGTTCATCTGTCAGACTGTTGTGTCCCTGCGTCCTAGGAAGGTGACGATCTCAGAGGAGCACGCTGCCATTGTGAGCCGCAGCATACGCCATGCCCTCCAGCACAGGACGATGCGTCCCCGTGGGAGGCTGTACCGGTGTTACGGACCTGGGAAGCCTGGCTACAGGCAAGTGCGTGAGTGGGATTGTCAATCAAGGACCTTCTGGACCTAGAAGTCCATACCCTTACCCTGTCCTCCCATTGTCTCCTAAGACGAGTGGCAGATAATGAGTCAGGAGGGTGTGAGGACAATCTGAAGGGCCTCCTAGGCCTTTGTGGGGGGTGGGGTGGAGTAGAAAGGGCTTCCGGGAGAAGGATGAGGTGGAGGGTTTCGGGTATGCGGGCGGGACCCACGGACTCTCCCTGCCCTTTAGCCACGGCCAGCACTGGACGACAGTGGAAAGGCCAAGCCCCCAGGCCTAGGCTCCTGAGGCACCTAAAATCCTACCTTGAGCAACATCTACTTTTGCCTTCAATTCTGCAGAGATGTGGCCACGGGAAGCCCCTGATGCAGAGGCAGCCGCGTGCTGGAGAGGAGCTAGTCCAGTGATGGCGAACCTATGACACGCGTGTCAGAGGTGACACACGAACTCATTTTTTTGGTTGATTTTTCTTTGTTAAATGGCATTTAAATATCTACACTAATAAAAGAGAAACATGGTAATTGGTGTACGACCGCTACCCTTCCCATTGGCTAATCAGCATATCCTTATGCAAATTAAAATTGATAACCTAGCTGTGAAATAGCAACAAATTAATACATGAAAAATAGTTTGAAGAGCCTGACCTGTACAAAAAACATAAGCTAACACACATTTTTTTTTGTTTACATTTGGAAGATTGCTGAGAACCTCACGCCATTGGAAGTTCCGTGTGCCTGCTATCTAAAAGGCGCATGTGTAAATCTTTTTGCATTTAGTAGATGCTGTGGGCTTGATTTCTTGTTCCTTTCACCACTGAACATCCTGTGAATGGCAGTGTCTCCCACTCACTTAGCTTATTGTCAAGTCCATCATTCTGACTCTGAATCGTGGGTCCTTGCTGGGCTCTGCTAACAGCTTCCATCAGTTTAATGTCATATAGTTTAGACCAGTGATGGCGAGCCTATGACACGCGTGTCAGAGGTGACACGCGAACTCATTTTTTTTGGTTGATTTTTCTTTGTTAAATGGCATTTAAATATATAAAATAAATATCAAAAATATAAGTCTTTGTTTTACTATGGTTGCAAATATCAAAAAATTTCTATATGTGACACGGCACCAGAGTTAAGTTAGGGTTTTCCAAAAGGCTGATACGCCGAGCTCAAAAGGTTCGCCATCACTGAGCTAGTCCCTCCTCCCTCCCACGGTGCCGGGCTGCGTGGGAATCTGAGTCTGTTTTCACAAGGAGGCTGGAGCGCGCGTCACACTGCGAACACTGCCCGAGTGATGGGCCCTTGGGGGATGAGAAATCCAGTTCAAGTCCACAGACGTCTCTTCAGTATGTGTTACACGCCTGTCACCGCAAGGGGACTTAAGGCACCTTCCACTTACTCATCAAGAGGCGTTGAGACGCTGGGGACCTTTGTCCCAGGCCCTTTTCTGACCTTGGAATTTACGTGACCATGTGGCAAAGGCCAGATGAAAACTGTGATTTATTACCAGGGACCAGGAAAGGTCAAGTGTCTGCCCCTTAGGTGGGCTGGCTGCTTTCACGGGGACATAACCTTTGAGAAAGCTATTTGGGCTTCTCACCACCCAGAGACACAGAAATTACACTCTTCTTAACAAGTGACATGGCCCGGCCGGTGTGGCTTAGTGGCGGAGCGTCCACCTAGGAACCAGGAGGTCACGGTTCCATTCCCCGTCAAGGGCACATGCCTGGGTTGCGGGCTCAATCCCAGTGTGGGGCGTGCAGGAGGCAGCCGATCAATGATGCTCTCTCATCATGGATGTTTCTATCTCTGTCTCCCTCTCCCTTCCTCTCTGAAATCAACCAAAAAAATATATTTAAAAAAATAACTCTTGGATCCAAAGTATCAGCAGCGATGAGGTGGGGCAACCCCGACTTAAACCCTTCTACGCCTCGTGGGACTCTCATGAGGAGAATGACAGCATGTGCCTCTTCCCTACCATCCATCTACGCCTTTGAAAGACATAGATGGGAACAAGTCTTGGAATCTCATGAAAGGAAAATGTATTGTATGAAGAAGAAAGATATAGAGAAAGAAAACTGGAAAAGGGGGGGGGGAGCTTTAAAGCGAGTGTGCCCAAGAACCCTAGTATCTTTGGGCTACGAGGGTGTCATAAGAGCGCGTGGTTATCCTACCTGGAGAACTCACCTGGAACGACTGGAACGGGGGAGTTTAGTGAGGATCCGTGTGGGGCCACAGGACGGCACCAGGATGTGCAGCCGGAGGTGGTCCATCCTGTCCCTGGGCCCTGCCTCAAAGGACACACGTGCGCGTGACGTGCGGATGTTCTTCTGGGAACATCGTCTGGCCCCACCGCCAGCCAAGGGCGTCCTTGAGCACCGTACAGGCGGTGTTTACCCTCAGCAAACCCGTGGCCCGGCTCCCAAGATCACATTGGATCCTACGGTCTCTGCACAATATTGGACTTGACCACCTTCAAACTTGACCTTTATATTCAACACCCTTCCGTGCTGATGTGAATACATGTTGCTGACTTATTCCTGAAGGATTTCAAGGAGGGTGGACACATCGTTTTCCGACTGCGAAGGTGACGTGATCTTTGTTCATGTGTTTAATTGTCATTCCTTGATAGCCTCCAATCCAGGACCGTGCTTACTCTGAATGGTTATCTAGTTGTATTATTTAAAGACTAGAGGCCTGGTGCACGAAATTCATGCACTGGAGGGGGGGGGACGGGTGTTCCCTCAGCCCGGCCTGCACCCCCTCAGAGTCTGGGACCCCTCGGAGGATGTCCGACTGACGTTCTGCTGTAATGGTCGCTTAGGCTTTTATTAAATAGATTGAAAATTCATTGCAATTAGGGAACAGCCTTGCAAAATAAAATGTGGTGGTCACTGCAAAAAAATTAAAAAAGGAATGAATCCAGTTCAGACGAGAGCACGGGTGTTTTATAACTTTATTTGAGAAGAGACCCTACATAAACTATGTCAGGAGGATACAGTCTACACACGATTTCATCACTCAGTAAATGGAGTCGTTAACGTAACACTGAAGATATGATACCATGAGGGAGACGGACGGACAGATGGCCGAGGGGTATTTACAACGCTCGCGCACGTTCTATTTATACCGGTGGTGGGTATATACATATATACATGTACATGTGCATATACATACATAGGGCCATACATACACACACATATATACATATATATGTATAAAATGTTTTTCGACAGAAACCAAGAAAAGGGTGTGCCTTTGGGTAGCGATTACCCACTGGAAAGTGAAGAATGGGCGGGTTTTCATGAGCTTCGTGGCGTTTAGGCTCCACCCCCACATGGCGTTAGGCTCCGCCCCCACATGTCCCGCCAACGCCTATTGGTTCCCACGAAGACCCACGTTGGCTCGGGGTGGAAGCGTGAGGGTGGAGGATGGGGTGACGGGGGCGGGGCCGAGAGTGGAGGACATGCACAGTGGGAGGAATGACCTTTGGTGACACCGTTACATCATCCTTTTGTATTAAACATAAGTTATTAATGCGATTTTAAAAAAATAATTTTTCTGTTTTCTTTTGAGGTTGGGGAGGAAGGACGGGTGGGGCTGGGACCCAGATGGGAGAGCTCTTGCCCTTTCAACACATCCCTCGATATGGACTGACAACACGTCCCCCCTACCCTGGGGCCCCCTGACCAAGGTAGAACCCTTTTATTTATTTTTTTGCATAAAGAACACCTTTACATGAGAATTTGACATTGCCCGCGAGCCTCTTCTCCAGAGACAAATACAGTCATCATGTTAACGAAAGCGATTCTCCAAGACTCACCGGGATGCAAATAAACTGAGCACAGCCAATGGGGGTTAGTTGTCCTTAAAAAAATAAAAAAGACATTCCCTCAAAGAAGGGGCACGATGGGTGAACCCCATGTTTGCTAAAATCCTCAGCCGCCCATTGTAAGTCAGTAACTTTGGGATCTAAATGCTAGGAAGCCAGCATGACCAACACTTTCCAGCAGCCTGGGGGTGGAGGGGGGAGGGCAACAGACCAGCATGATGGAGGGAGATTTCTCAGTCATGAAACAGGACCGAGGAACAACCCATGGAGGTGAAAAGAAACGCAGTTGAGCACGCCTCGACTCTGCCCCGGCCAAGGTCTGCGCCAGTGAATGCCCGCTTGGCAACCGTGTGTCTTTCCACTGCTAAGCTTCTCCCAAGCTACGCCAAGTGGTGGTAGCTTTTTTTTTCTTTCTTTCTTTCTGAACTCTGTAAGATAACCTTGGCCTCAGAACCAGTGTGTGCACGCATCCCAGGCCCACATGCCACGCACACCATGTTCAAGGTCAGATGGCCAATATATGAATACGAACGAGGGGACACACACACACACACACACACAGAGGATCAGATGAGAGAGAGTCACGTTACATATATTTAGTACAGAAAGCTTCGGGGTGAGGGTGGAAATCAGCTACGACGGCACCTGAACTTCATTTGCAAAATTGCTCTCGGAGAACACAGCGTCCGACCGGAGCGCGGAGCAGGTGCCGGCTGATTTGCCAGCCGCCCGGAGGCTGCTCGGGACATCAGCCTGAAGACGACGGGACATGTGATGTCCAGTAGGAAACGAATCTGTGTACAGCATTTACAAGGCAATAAATCCTTCCTTTCCCTCCAAATGAGATATGTAAAGTAGCACTTAGTTTAAATACAAGTTTTCTTCTGCTTTTAGACCTAGCCGTAAAAAGCCATTCATGCAAAAAATTACCTCCAGTCGGCGCTGGACGTTTGAAGGACACTTCTCCTGAAAGCGAGTCCCTTTCGAGTAGGGAAGGGGAAAAAAATTCCACTCGGGACAGCCAGCCGCGGCTGGGAGTGGAAAATGCAAGACTTTGGTGTCTGTGGGGCATTTGCCTTAAGAGCCCAGGCGTGTCGCTGAGCTCGCCTCCGAGGAGGCAGAGGGCTAGATGCGCCCTTGATAATGTTAGGAATTGTCCAGAAAAAGTACTGGGAACCTCTCCAGGGATTTCTTCTCTAGCCTGCTCCCTCCTGAGGCTCCTACGGACATCCCCTCTCCTTCTAACGACGCAGCCCCGCCTCAGACCACCGTTCCCGGCCCGTGGACCAGTTGATTCCCATCAGTCAACTCCCAACTCCTTCTTCTCTGTTCTGACGGGAATGCCCAGTTGGTCCTTCCTGTGCATATAGACCCTAACCTAGGTTTGTCCCTTAGTTCCAATAGAAAACAAAGCTCCTATTCTAAAGGACCCTCAGAGAGGATTGTTGACCCTGCCCTCGTCAATAATCCAGAGATGCGTGCCTCTTTCTCATGGCGGGTGTGAGCGCTGGAACGGGAAGCCCGCAAGAGGATGAGGGGTGGGGGAAGCATGGCGTCCGGCCCCTCGCTCGCTCCAAGGTTAAACATCGCCGTTCCAGACCTTGGTCTCTGGCCTGCTGTCTCCACCTTACAAAGCACCCCCATGTCCTGCACACGGGGTGTGGGGGGCTGTTCAGAGCCCTGGGTGGTCCAGGGGCAGCGGGAGTGGAATCTATCTGCCACCTGTAAACCAGGAGACAGCGGTTAAGATGAAGTGTGCAGGGACCGCCTGGCCTCCCCGCACGGGGCCATCCTGACAGGAGCCGCGTATTACTGTGCGTGACAGCCGGGCAGGCACGGAGCAGCATGACGCTGGTGCTCCTGCTGCACTCCCGTCCTCAGTGCGCCCGCCAGCCTGGCCCGATGGAGGCCCAGAGGGGCCACGTGCGCTTTCCCCGGGATTGCTTAAGGCGTGGTGAGCTGCCGGACCACACGCGTGATGAAGGGGTGGCCGCTGGCATGCAAAGCAGTGCCCAGCCTGAGTCTCCAAAAAGCCCCACAGCAGCAGCCCGGGGCCCGTTTCAGACCTCGGAGTTCACAGCGGCGGCTCAGGCCTGGAAGGTACCACCTCCCATGCACAGAGCGAACAAGGACCTGCACGTGGATCAGTGCATCAGTCGTAAACAGAAGGGGGTTGCCTGTAAGCGGTCCCCCGCTGGGGAGGGGACAAGCCGAAGGTGCCTTGTGAAGACTGTAGTTGGGGGGTGCCTGTGCCCTAGGGTGTCTGAGTGTCTTTGTTTCCAGGAGACCACGGGGCGTGGCTTGGGGAAAGCTTAGCAGTGAACTGTCTGGGTGTGTGAGCCCAAACCCTGTCCTTTCCTTAGGAGGCCGAGGATGTGACAGAAACAGCTAAGCCTCCAGGCTTTGAATAGAATGCGAGATGCAGGCACTTGAACTTAAGAAGAAAGTCTTTTCGGAGGAGACCCCCTGGGCAGGAAGGGAAGGAAAACCAGGCCTTCCCGGCACAGAAGGTCCATGAGGACAGCCAGCCTTGGGTGAATGGAGGGGTGGTCGCTGTCCCTGGTGCTGAACAGAGACCCAGGAGTCACTGAGAAATGGGAGGAGGGAAAGCCTACCTAAGGAGCCCAAAGCTCTCAGCAGAGGCTGGCTCTAGGGGAGTGGCCTCCTAAGATGTTTGAGGAGCCTCATTTCGGCGCCATTTCCAATGGAAGCAGCCCTGAGGCCACCCCGGTTTCCCCGTGGGACAGGGTTAACACATCATCCTAACTCGGATGGGGCAGCACGTCCAACCACCTCCCCGTTCAGGCCCGGTTGGCAAAGTCCCTCACGGGAGGCGAGGACCCCACAGCCTTAGAAAGGAAGCCTGTAAGTGGACGGATTCCACACCAGGGTCTGCAGATACCGCCCACTGACACTGCAGACACAGGACTGCTGTGCTGCTGACTGACCAAGATTCCACACCAGGGTCTGCAGACACTGCCCACTGACACCCACTGCAGACACAGGACTGCTGTGCTGCTGACTGACCACACCCCGCAACTCAAGCCTCTGGCTTCGTCTCTGCCCCTCATCTTATTGTCACGTTCTGAGAAACGGAGCAGAGGTCTTACTATGCTCAAGAGAAAGTCCAACCTCATAACCAATTCCTTCCTACCTGCTGCACCCTCCCCAACATCCCCCCCCCCCACCCCCCCCAGCCAATACACACAAGAGATCTCAGAAAATCAAACCTACTTGAGAAAGAGTGCAATTCTTCCCCTAACTGCACCTGGAACGAGAGAGAGAGAGAGAGAGAGAGAGAGGACTGCTGTGTTCTCTCACATCCAGAGAGAGAATTCTCTTGCCCTGACTTTCTTGCTTTCATTTCCTTTTGACAATGCCCTTGAGCTCACCCGCAGGGCCCACACACAGAACCCAGAAGGTCCTCTGCTCTGTGGGTAACAGAAGCTTCACGGGGGCCATTCTGGGTTGCCTCCAGCTGCAATGGGCTTGCAGGAGCCTCCGATTTTAGGCAGGAACTACAACCAATCTTTCCAAGCCTTGAAAAGAAAACATCCCGCCCGGCAGCATGGCTCAGGGGTGGAGCCTCGACCTATGAACCAGGAGGTCGCAGTTCGATTCCTGGTCAGGGCACGGGAGGCAGCCAATTGATGATTCTCTCTCATCATTGATGTTTCTCTGTCTCTCCCTCTCCCTTCTTCTCTGAAACCAAACTTAAAAAACAAACAAACACTTTTTCTTTTTTTTCAAAGTCATGCACAGCATTGCGTCAGTTGCATCACATCTGACAGTTGCTTGAGGAGCTAAAGGAAATGACCTTCCAGAGATTTAACTCACCAAGAAGCCACCCTGCCAGGTGCTTAGATGAGCGGCGGTGACATCGAGGCTGTAATCCGGCCTCAGGACTGCTGGCCGGGTGTTCCCTTCAGGTGGGTGCGCTTCTCAGCGGGCATCCCGCTCACACCTTCGCTGGTTCGGCATCTGGACCCCCCTTCCCCCCCTCCCCGCTAATGACGGCCCTGGAAGGCACCTGGTACCGCTTCGGGCGCACTCTCCTATTTATGGAGAAGGCTTCACGTGGTCTTACTTTAAAAAACATTTAGATGTGCACACCCTCAGGACAGCAACAGCGGGGGGCAGGGGGGGGGCGTGGAGATCAGTGCAGCAGGAGATGCCATTTTGCTACGAATTGTCTGGGATCCCAGGCCTGCCAGCAAAATCCACCTGCCGTCCCTTTTCAGTGACAGAGCCCAGCGGGCGGCACAGCCTCTTTCTGCGTGGAGTTTTGTGAAGGTTATTATCCATCCCTCAGAGAGGAAAGAGCCAGGGATGAGCTCAAGATACCGGACCCCGGGGGAGATTAAAGGGAGGTGCACCTCCAAGCAAAGCACAGCCCCGCGGCGGCTCCCAGCTCAGCACGCAGCGAGCCTGCCTGCCACTGGGCTTTTCTCAGCCGAGGAAGGGACAGAGGCAGAGCATCCCTGGCTACACAAGGATTTGTGGGATACGGGGTCTGGTCTCCCAGCTCCTCCTGTGACTTTGAACTTTCACTTCATTTTCCCCCAAAAGGAAGCATGTTCTAAGGCTCAATTGTGTGCTCAGGGTATAGACCTCTGTGTGCTGTCACTGTAAAGGTCTCCTTTGATTGAAAAAGACTCTCATGCCTGCAAGATGTGGCTGCTGCTGCAATTCTGTGTGCATTCCACAGCCCCTCCGCGAAATAAACACTTGGCTGGTGCGTGGCGGGAGCTCCAGTTCTGAGGGGCAGGGTGCACCCACCCTGGCGGGGGCCTGAGAGGAAAGAGGCCTGGTTTACCACGTATCAGCATATGGAGCAGCCGGGAGGCG